AGCAAGATTCATTTTATCGCTGACACTGATTCATCTTTAAAGATTCTTCAATGTTCGTAGAGTCTTGGTCAGATTTCACAATTTGATTTAAACATTCTTGTAACACTACATACACTTCAGATCACGAGCTGTTACGTCTCTGTCTTCAACTACTTCAACATCGCTGAAGGTTGCTTTGGTGTTTTTTTTGTCTCTAAGGAATGCTTGTTCTTGGAGGTTTACAATACATGTTTAGCAATCACTAAACAGACTTAGAGATGATCGTTGAAACTGAACAGAAGTAGAACAAATATATTTTACTAAGTATAGAGAATCATCATCAAATCACTGAGAGAATTTGAATCAACAACCTTTTAAACTGTCATTTATCTAATAATTAGTTTCAAATTTCAAAAATATCACAAAAATATCATCGCCTTTATAGCCGTAGATTAAGTTCAATTGAGGATTAAGATTAATACTCACGATCATCAACCTTTTTTTCTTCTCACATGATTTAACCCTTAAAATATAGACATTTAAAAAGAATAAGCAAACAACTAAGTAGATCCACCATGAAGAAAGGGTGTGCACACATACATGTACTTAAAACATGTTTTTTGTGTGTGCATAATATAGAAAATCAAAATTATTATTATTTGTAGTGGTGGTGTTGTAGATATGGGCAAACATGTTAAAAAACCAGGCATTTAACCGATTTTTACCGACCTTTCCCTCTTGAACCGTAATCGATCCCGGTTATAATCATATTTTAATTAAAAAACCGTGATTAGTAGTAAGCGGTCCTTTATAATCAATGACGGGTTTTTAATCTATTATATATATATATATATATAAACATAAATTAAAATAAAATTGATTATAAATTGGTAAAAAAAAATTGTAAACTTCAAAAAACTCGTACAAGCTTAAAAATCATAAATATTTAATGCATGAATATTGTTTAAAAGGTCTAAAATTCATAAACATTTAAAACAAGAAAAATGTTCAATACACAAAAAGGGGTGCTAATGCCACCCCTTTGTAAGGGTGTGATTTTTATTGAAAATTGTGCCAATCAATTTTTTGATAAACATCATCTCAATAATTATTTTATTAATTTTATTTTATTTTATATATTTACATTAAAAAAAATATATATTATTTTATTATTTTTATGTTATTTTATTATTTACAA